GTAGGATTTTTGTCAGATACTGAAGCACTTTCCTTTTTTCAAATTTAATTGACTTTTAAAAAAAATTTCATAGCATTATTTAAAATTTTTCATTAGGTTTTCATAAAATCACCATTACTGTGGAACCGGTGGGTGGTTAGAAAATTTTTCTACTAACAGAGATACAAAAGTGGGCGGTAGGTATAAAAAGGTTAAATCAATGCCCCAGTAAACACAGATGCAGATATTTGCTATATATATTTATACATTTAATAACCTATAAAAAAGCCATAATAAAAATATAAACAAAAACAAAGGTCAGCTGTTAAACAACTAATATATCTTTTCCATTAATTTTACTCCGATAATTGTACAAATTATCACTGCCAGAAATGTTGGCATGGCACTAAGAAAGCAATTTCTTTCCATCTTTAATCTTGGCATTTTAAAGATAATTGCCAGAATATTTCCTTATGATAAAAGTTGGTTCCAGCATGAGAGGAAAAAGACAACATAAGTAAGCAGGTCTGTTTATATGTTATAACTGCATTAATTGTAGATGATTAATTTAAGACCATCCATACAAAAAATTGCTGACTATGATTATACATAAATTTTAAATCTGACCCTCAAATATTTTATTTGCAGCATATGGTGTTCAAAATAACCTGGCTCCAAACACACTTGGGGTCACAAGTACCACAACCACAGCTTCCACAGGTAACAACACTTGATGAAAATATGTGGAATTCAAAGCATTTTTGCTAAGATTCATTTGCCTTAGAAATGATGGAAGAATATTGAAAAATTATTTCCTTTTGCTTATTTCAAAATATTGCAATTCATGTAGATCTCCATAATATATCTCAAGTAATTCTATTGTTTTGCCAGCTTGCATATCTACTAATCTCTGTGAGGTCCTGAATCACTTTTTCTCTCAGTAAGTCACTTATAGCTGGATAAAGAATAGTTGTGTATCGAGATATAGATAATAATCACTACTTCAACTTTTTAAAAGATGCTGTTCCATTCCATGATATTAGTGCCCCAAAAGCTGGGGAAATACATACATAGTTAGATCTTTTCCTTGGGCTTCTGGAAATCTAGAATTGTGTCTTTATCCCTCACTCTTTTTCATTTTCAACAGCATATGGAACAAAGAAAAATGCAGTGCAAAGCTCTGGTGTGACTAGTACAGGTGTGTCCACATCATCTACAACTGGTGAGTCTTCATCTCTTTCACATGGAACAGCAAAGGAGACTCTGCAGAACCAACAACGCCCCTTTCTGTGCTATCTATGGAGTACATGATGGGGAGAAGGACTTGTGCTTCTGCCTTACTGCCTTGCCTGCGATCCAGCAAAGCAGCATCTGCCAGTCTCCTTTTCCTGGATGTCTCAAAGGTACTTTGCCAAAAAGGCAACTGCACTTTCTTGGTTTATTTTGCTGTTTCGCTTCTCATCTAAGAAGTTTCTTCAGTTCTGAACTGAAAAAGAACTGAAGAGGCTTCTTGGATGAGAAGATAAACTTTTTCAAAGAAAAAGAAACCCAAGAAAGTCTGGTTAATTTTTGGAAAACCACCTTTGTGACATGGATGATTGAGAATCTCCATAGACTTTCCCTGGATGGATTTTCAATTTTCCTTTGCTGTGCTGGTGCTTGTGGGTTTTAATCAAATGTATTACTTATTTTAAAAACTTTTTTTTTTCTCTGTATGTGTAAATCTTCAGATTTACTGATATTAGAAAAGTTGTTGTTTCAGGCAAGGCTTCATCCAAATATGAAACAGGGCTGAATTAGTTTTGCTGCTATGACCAACAAGGCATGGTGGGAAAGGGAGGATTTTGCTCAAAATTAGGGATGCCCTGTGATTGATCTGTAGAAAGGAAGCCTAGAAGAAAGTGTAAGGAATGTATTTAGTTTCTACTTCACTGTATTGTTGTAGGTACAAACAAGTATGTGAAACTAACAAATTTTGCAACCTTCATAGTAAAGCAACAACATCATACTAGCTTTTTTCCCTTAAGAAGGTTCCAATTCCTCCTAAACATTATCTTGGGGAGAGGACTTGATATGGTTTGGCTAATGTAGCATCTAAAAAAGCCCAGATGTAATACCTGCTTGAAAACATATCTTCTGATAGCACTGCACATTTCTTAAGCTATCTATGTTTTATATAGGTTTACATTAAATGTTAAATCTTAAAATAATGGGCAATATTTCAATTTGATTTATAATTTGAGTAAGTCCAGCTACAGAAATTTATAAACCATTTTTTTCTTGATGTGATTTGAGAACTTAGTGTTATCATTACAAAAAAAATCACAGTGCTGTATTAGCCCTACCTCTGTCTGAGATCCCCTATTTAGTGGAGAAATTCATATATTTAATATAGGGAATTCACTACACAAGAGATGGGGATAGCTATTCAATTGGGTTGTCAGGGTTCCAACCAGTGGTGGATTATGACCGCCGGGAGCACCAGGTACCATTCTGGTATGGTGCTCCAGAGAGCCCACCAGCCTGCCCGCCCGCCTGCCCGCCCATGCTCCTTACCGGTATTTGAAATTTTCAGGGCAGGCACATGCACGGAATGGACGGCACCTACGCAATGCTCAGCCAAGCAGCTGGAGCGTTGCGGAGGCATCACGGAGCATCATGGGCGATAAGTACACGTGCGCGTGCTGCGCACGTTCATGTGGTGGACACCCAGCCCCGTTGCACCATACCAGTTGCAACAGGATCCAGAACCCACCACTGGTTCCAACGGATGCCGTAAAAGAGTTGACATAGATGACTTTAAACTGGGACTGGTGGATTAGTCAACTAAAGCCTTTTAATGTTGAAGATTCAACATTCTCTCAGAGTTTGGGTAGCTTGTCTGCAAATACTTGTGGAGGGGAGCGAACAGTAGAAGAAAGGGTATGTCTTCACCTCTTTCCAGTGAATCTGTTGGGCCGCTGTGAGAAACAAAATGCAGATTAGCAAAGGCTTTGATCTGACCCAGCAAGGTTTATGTTACCAACAAAATAAACTTACAGGAGACACTGTAAATGAGATGTCCACTAGAGGAAGCTACTGCCTTTAGAAAATGGAAATAAAAGCAAAACATGGAAAATTTACTTTATTTTACAGCAATTTTTCTTTAATTGATATCATGCTGTCTAATGGCAAGTCTATAAACACTCTTTCTATGTTTTCTTGCTGCATAAATCAAGCAGAAAGCTAGTTTCTGTTCTGTTAGATTTCTCAGTTGCATTACAAAGGGAAATGTGTGTTTCTTACTTACCTTGCAAGGATCACAAAAAAGTGAGCTAAGTGTTACCTGCAGTTATACTGCTATTACTAAACCCAGAGTAACACCTAATTATTATAGTTTATATCCAAGTGGATATTTTAAATTAATAATTAACAAGTTCAGAATAATCATCAATATTTTGGAGAAAATCTATGTGGTCAAACACCAACTTGATGGCACATAATTATCAATCAGTCTTTGAAAACAGTATCACCAAAGGAGGATAACTGCAATATCCAATATATACATGATTGTTTTCTCCTGTCTTTTCTGACATTCAGTTGCCGCGTCCACAAACTCTCAGAGTGATGACATCCTACGCAAAGATTGCAAATTTGTGCTCATAGAAAAAGATAATGTAACTCCCAAGAAAGAAATGGAACTATTGATCATGTCCAAGGACAGTGGAAAAGTTTTTAGTGCATCAGGCACTGGGCTCAGTGGAGGTCAGTTTTGTTCCCATTCTTGAGGCCACATATTGATTTCATATAAGTTCAGAGGGTACACTACTTATATGGGATCTGTTTCCCTCCAACCTTGTTTTATATCATCTGATAATGTCAGAGAAAATGGCACAATTCATTTCCATGAAGTAAATATTTTCTGGTTTTGTGTGATACACTGAATCACAAACAATAGCAACCATTCGTTTTCAAGTCAGTGTTTCTGACATATCTGTACCCTGTTTCCCCAAAAATAATACCTCCCCAGATAATAAGTCCAATTGGACTTTTGAGCACATGCGCTAAAATAAGCCCTCCCCTGAAAATAAGCTCTCCCCAAAAATATTGCAACACAGCATTAGCCATGAGGTGACCACGCTCACCACCTCCTGCTCCTCAAAAATAATAAGACCTCCCTGAAAATAAGGCCAAGTGCTTATTTTGGGGGTCAAAAGAAAATAAGATGCTGTCTTATTTTCAGCAAAAGACCCTATCTTATTTTTGGGGAAAGATGATAATGTTGGAGAACATAATATTGTAATGCTATAAAGAAATGCATGTCATTTTTTAAAAAGTGTTCATTGAAAAGATAACAAGAAGAAGACAAAGCAGAAAGGTAGTAAGATGCAAAGTATAATTATAGAAACATAAAAGCAAACGCTAGTTTTGGTATACCAATAAAGGTAAGGTTTTCCCCTGTCCAGTTGTTCCTGACATCTCTGTTTCTTAGCCAAGGAGCCAGCAATGTCAAAAGACACTTCTGTGGTCATGTGGCTGGCATGAATATCTACTTGCATTTACATGCTTTCGAATTGCAAGGTGAACAGTAGCTGGGGCAAGTAATGGGAGCTCACCCCATCACACGGCACTTGGAACTTGAACCCAGGCAGTTGGCTTTCCAGCCGACAAGCTCAGCGTCTTTAACTGCTGAGCCATCAAATCCCCTTTTGGTATAGCTATAAAGTGAGGTAAATTATTGTAGCTTAATAGATCTAAAGAGAAAAAAAGAAATCTGACTAGGTTTTACATTGTTCAAGTGAGATGATTTTGACTGGCTGTTGCTTTTTTCTGTCAATGAGCAAAACATATTCACAGAGGAGAAGAAACATCAAACTTACTTAGGCGGATGAATGAGCAAGGAAATGGCAATATTCCAGAAAGACTGTTGTGAATGTTTGTGAAAGAATACTGGCTGGGATATGACTGGAGAAAGGGAGGAAGTGGAGCACAATCCCAAACAACTCACAGGAAATTTAATCTATTGAGCCTGAACTTCACTATGACTAGTTTCTCACGGGCTGAAAGCTCCAATGAATTTTTAAAAAATCCGGGGTTATTGTATACTGAAGTGTTTGTGGAAATAAACCTTCAGGTTAATATCTCATATTACTGTACCACTTTAACAACTATGCTTATATAGTAGATAACAGCAGCTGCATTCAGTTCTGTAGTTGCTACCTAATTACTTTTTAGACTGGCCCCAGGATGCCACATTTACTCCCTAAAGTCATAAGAATTGAGTAGAGTATGTGCTAGCAGAGTGTTTATTTGCCGGATGCCCTTCCTTCACCAATGCGGAGGTTTGTACAGCAGATACATTCTCATTGTGCCCAGAGAGAGGAATATCTGCCTCTACCTAAGATTGAACTCACAGCCTCCTGATTGTGAGGTGAGAGCTCCATCTCTAGGCCACCACACCACTCCTTTTCCTTGTTTAATCAATACTGGATGAATATTTCAATACCACAATGATATCAGTGAAATGAACTCATTAAGACTCCAATTCACAGCATAGTCCAATCCAGGGATGGATATATTTTTCAACCTGTGTATTAGACTATAATCCAGACTATACTGTTGGACAAGTTTTATGATATCCCACAGGGTTTAATTTTTTAATATCCTTTTTACAAAGAGGTTTAGTGTTGAATAGGTTTTGGAGGAAGGGGATTTGGCCCTGAAGTAAAAATATTCGCTTAATTTAGGAGTACATCAAGATTTTGAAAGGGCTTAACAAATACTGTACATTTACACAAAGCGTAAGGCTCTCATCCTCCACACATTCTAACATTTCTTGGCTAAAAAATCAATCAGACTTAGATATTCTCTTTGTTTTTGTTTTAAATTTGGAGATAAACTGGTATTAAGCCATTTCATATTTACCCTAAATATGATTTATTTGGGCCCACCACAGGTTATTATGCAGAAGACACCTTACAAAAAGGCGAAAAGGCTAGCTCTTATTATGCTGGAGATTCCTATCTGAAATCAGAAACAAATGGTACGTCATTGATTCTCTGTCTTGATTTGACTAATTAAGAGAAGAATAAAAATACGTCTCACACAAACATTGTATGATAACAATGATCCGGCTAATTAAAACAATGGTTATGCTAGTGACAAAGCTGTGAAAGCTGGACAAAGAGAAAGAATGAGAAGCAAAATAGACACCATGGAATTATGAATTTGGAGATATTTGTTAAGATTAATATGAACTATAAAATGAATCAATTAATACTAGCTGATAAAAAACCCAACTAATTCCTTGAAGTGATAATCAGAACACAAAAACTAGTATACTTTGGACATGTGATGCAAATGGATGATGAACTAGAAAAAACAATTATTCTTGACAAAGTTGAAGATAATAGAAGAAGGGAAAGAGAACAATAAAGTAGCTGAGCAACTTCAAAGCGATCACTGAAACATCCTTGGAAAAGCTATGGATCATCAACAGGGAGAGGTCAAGCTGGTGTCCATTTACCCATACAATTCAGCAGAAGTGCACATGACTATCACCAGATATGCATCAAGAATTCCTGGCCAACTGTTTAATATAGTAAAAGAGGCCAATCTGCATTCACTCATCTATTCGCCTGAATATTAGGCAGAAAAATATTGTGCATATGGAACTATTAGGATACAGAAAATGTTTCTCCCTTTTAGGTGAGAAAAATACTTCAGAGCAAATAATCCCCTTCCCAAAATATTGAATGAAATTCGTTTCCTACTATGCAGTATTTCTACTCCACTTTTTGAGAGTTTTGAAAAACAAATCTTAATTTATAATTACAGTATGGTTTGCAGTAATTCTTCAAAGTCATGTCCTTATTCTATGCCCACTGAAGCCACACTGTAATATTGTCCCACGTCCTTATTTGGATTAACAACTACTACTGTGCATTAAACTCTGTTTATAACAAATAACACAGAAGAGTGTTACCCTTACATTCTTTTTGTTGTTACAGGTGGCCTTAAATCTGTTTCCGCAAAAGACAAAACCGCTGTTGCAGGTGAATACCCATATTCATTAGTTCTTGATTGATATAGTGCAGAAACCATTGACGGATAATACTAGATTCATAGATTTTTATGGAAATATATTTATTTAAAATTGGAGGCTATTCAATGTGGGGGATATTTTTTCTATAGACAAATGCTAAGATTATTTTTTTATGTGAACCTTTACACCACATATGCAGGATTTAGAAAATCCAATCCAAAGCGCATTTACTTTATTCTGTGCCAATTAAATGAAATAATGAAATAAATGACCTTTAGGAATATTCTATACTTGGGTGATTATAATTGTACAATCAAAATCTTCTGGGGAGATTTTCTAACTGGACCAGGTTGTGTTGAACAGCTGTGACACAGCAGACCATTTATCATTTTGATGTCTATATTTGAAGCACAAGCTATCCAGATGTCTCGTAACTGATCTGCTATTAAACTTAAAAGAAAAAATACACCTTTGAGAGTGTAATACTTATGTACCATAGCTGATCAATAATAGAATATTACTTCATGCTACAAGTTACAAAGATTTCTTTAAAGAGTTTTTAGAAACTAAAGTCAGTAATACAGTCTTATGTATGGTGTATCTCTGTATATGTATTTGCATATATTTGTGTGTGTGTGTGTGTGTGTGTGTGTGTTTGCTGTTTGTATTAATTAAAGCCCAATGTTTCTCAAAAACTGAAGATTGGTTCTCAGTGCAGGTTCTTTAAATATGAAGTGAATACTTATTTAATGCTAATTATTGTAATATTGAGTTTAGANTCAAAATGGACAAAATAGACAAGTCAAAATACAAAATATAAAAATATTTTCTATTTTCTATTTTGCAAAGTGTATTTAAAGGTTTTAAGCAAGAACACCCTGCATACTGCACATATATTTTAATTCTTCACATTTTAAAAGTTATAATTCAATGTTTGGCAAAACTTTGCATATTAGAAATAAAGAAAATCTGCCTTTTTATTTACTTCATCCACCTTGCTCCTGGTCATCTTATTTTTCTCTTTCACTTTTCCAAACATTATTGATTTCTCCAACAAGCTAGATCTTACATAATGTGTCCAAAATATGATAATACGAGCCTGGTTATGTATGTCTTGAGTGATCATCTCTGAATTGATGGTCGGACACACAAACAGATACACCTGTTTTTCCAATAGCAAAATTCAAAAGGTTCAATAGTTTTTTTTCCTTGTTCATTAAAACCCAACTTTACTTCCATGAGACTAGAATATTTACAAAATTCATGTTATCTTATCTGGTTTATATGAAAGTAACATAAAAAAGCTTCATTATATATTGTATATAATTATATAATATTAAAATCCAGTTTGGGATAATGTTCTTTAATTTTTCTGCAGTGTCAGGGACTTATGACACAACAATCTTGAATGCTGCCCTCCCACCATACATGTGGTCCTCCACCCTGCCTGCAGGGTCATCTCTTGGTGGCTACCATAACAACATGACCCAAAGTTCATCTTTGATCAACACTGCAGCCCATTCTACTGGATCAGGTATGCATTCATTTATCAAAGTCTCTGCAATGCTGGGTTGCCAAATGATGCCGTTGATGCCCGGTCCTCATAGTTAAAAATTTTGTGAGTCTGGATGACGAGAAACAGACTGAAGCTCAATCTTAGCAAGACCAAGTGGCTGTGGGTATTTCCCCCCATTATCCTGGTGACCTTTCATTACTAGACTAGGATGGGATTGTACATCTCTACTCAAGACTGATGTGCAATCTGGAATCTTTTGGGATTCACTACTCCTGCTCAAGGAATAGAGAGTAGCTGTGCCTGAAAGGGATTTCATATTGATTCATTTCCAAAGTGCTTTTTCAAAAGGCAACTGGACTTTGTTTTTTCTTGAAGATGATTTGCTTCTTATCCAAGAAGCTTCTTCGGTTTTGACTGAAGTTCTGACTTCTGCAGTCCGAATTGAAAAAGTATCTTTTGGACAACCATGACTTGGATGATGGAGAATCACCATAGACATATTGATTCATGCATTTACTGTTCTACTATCCAGTAGGGAAGCTCCCTTGATGATCACTTATACCTCAATCCACATGGGGCTGCTTTGAAAGCAACTCAAAAACTAAAGCTCGTTCAGAATGTGGTGGCATGAGTTGCAATGTGACACCATTATTCCATAAGCTGCACAAGTTACTAGTTGACTTTTGGGTGAAATTAAAGATGCTGGTTATCACCTGTAAAGTCTTTCATAGTACAGGGCCAGTTTTTACTTGATCCGCTATCTCTAATAATTTCTTCCCATCTGGTAAGAATCAGTAGAGTAGAGGAAGGAAGAATCAGTGCCTTCCAAGTCCCTTCAATTAAATAAACTATCAGAATGATATAATGAGAGCCCATCTTGAATTTTATGGATGCTATTTGAAAGCTTTGATTAATTAGTGGCTCACTATTTTGATTAAAATAGAGCTGCCAGGACTTTGGAAAGTAAGGAAAGCTGACTAGAAATGTGTGTAAAAAGGGTTGTCATTTTAAAAAAAGGAACCGTACCTGGGAAAAATGGACCTGATGAGAATTTTCTTATCAAATATTTTCCATGCTTTCTTTAGGCGCTGTGTCTTTTTTAATGGAGACCCATTTGAGGGTTGAAAACATAGACATGAGTCCACCATAAACCAATTACTGGTGGTTGAATAACTACAAGAAAAAGAATGACTGGGTCACACATCTGAGATGTGACACAGCCATTTTTCTTTCCATTCAAACACCAGTTCCAGAACTTTGGGTTGTGGTGAACTCATGTTTTCAACATTTTCAACACCTTTTATTTCTATTATTTTCTCTTGCAGTATTTGGCGTTCCAAACAACTTGGCCCCAACTTCATCCACTCTGAATGGTGGTCTTAGCAATTCTTCCACAGGTTTGTTTTCTCCATTCTTCCCTGTTTCAGGAAAAGGAAGCATTCGCGCATTTGTTATTGATTTGTAATCTGTGTTAATGGCACAAGAGAGGAGGCATATCCAAAACAAAATTTCCTGTTTTATTTTAAATCAGTGGTAGTCAACCTGGTCCCTACCACCCACTAGTGGGCGATCCAACTTTCATGGTGGGCGATAGGGTTTTGTCCGATACTGAAGCACTTTCCTTTTTTCAAATTTAATTGACTTTTAAAAAAAATTTCATAGCATTATTTAAAATTTTTCATTAGGTTTTCATAAAATCACCATTACTGTGGAACCGGTGGGCGGTTAGAAAATTTTACTACTAACAGAGA